ATATATATATATATATATATATATATATATATATATATATATATATAATACGTGCATGTATATTGCAGGATGGTAGTGTGAATGAAAGAGAAATTCAGAATCTAGATGACGCCGCGTCAGCCAATCAAATACGCATGAACAGTGATCCATTTGAATTAATGCTCATGAACATGGGATACAGATTTCCCGTTCCCCAGCACGAATTTAGCGACGAGGACAGTGAGGACCAGCATGATCAACCAATAGCACCAGCTTTAAATTGTAGACCAAGCTAAATTTTGCAAGAGACACACACACACACAGAGAAAGGATTACGTATTAACAGTGGCTAGATACGTGAGAATTTATCTCAACATGCGTATTATAATCTGTCACACTGTTATTTCAATCTTAATTATTTATTTTCTTCTTTCACGGACATGTCTCGAAGCACTTTTGTTGTATAATAATCTATCAAGCCAAAGCATCTTGACAAGATCAAGGGCGAAATAGAATCTTATTTGCCAGGCGTTGTGGATATATATTGTTAAGAAATGCGAAAAACTTGAACAAGAATTATTATATTTCAAGATTCTTATAAGATGTAGTTAATAATATATCATGTTATATCTCTTTGTATAAAAACGGATTTATTTTTATCCCCCATAAGATAATGAGACAGCACTGTTCGGCACATATAAATTTCATTTGTGAGTTTGTAGCATCGATATGGAGAAAGTTAAAATTTTTAAAATAATTTACGTTATTGTAGATTAGCTCAAGTAGCGCACGATGGTACAAGTTCCCATAAACTCTGCAATGTGCTGCCTTCTCTTGGCTCCTCCGCCGCGAGTCCCAAGTGAATCGAAAAATTTGGCTTCCTTTGACCTGTTTCCCCCTCAGAGAAATAATAGCCAAATACATTCGATATTTCAGCTTGATTATCTTGTATCTCAGTGAAATGTTCTACATTAATCTCCTCTTGCGAAGGTGCCTGTAATGGTACGGATACTGATAATCGCTCGTGTATTGGAAGAACGTTATTGGCAAATAAGCAGCAAGATGAGCTTTAAATTTAAAGACACGTAAAATGTAGCCCTAGTCAGATTATGGTGCGAGCAAGGAGAGAAAGTAACGGTCAAAAAAATGTGACTTGTTTACTTTTGACTAAACTTAAATTCAGACTGCGCGACATTGTGATGAAACGTACACACATTAACTATGTGGTTACAAGTTACAAGGTACCTGATGTTCAAACGTATATTCCACACCAAAAATAGGAAATTTTTCAAATTCCGAACGGAGTATCGATACTTCTTTATGAGTAATATGAAGCTGCTGCAAGGGATTGACGCGAAAACCCAAGACGTATCCTCCGCTGGCCTCTGTACTTAAAATTACTAAAGTTGGCCCAAATTTCGATGTTCTTATAGTAATCTACAAAAAATTCATTCATGTGGCACGCACACAATTTTTTTGTTTCTTCTGGCATATTTTCACGTATATCTTATATGCATAAAGTATAACGTTTAATATATAATATCTAACGATCTAACGATTTGTTATCGTTTATAATATGCATATTCACATAGCGTGTAATTAATATACCTATACTCACATTTCCGATTGTAAGATAAGGAATCGATACGTTAAACTGATGATTCACATCCGCATACCATACCAAACGTATGTTGGTTGTAATAAAAGTTCCGATGTTCCCCTTATAAAAACGATTATGTCTTATTAAAGATTATAATGATATACGTAACAAAATTTAACAGCGAGAAGTTGAACATATTAGTTAAATTGAAAAAAATGATGGAACGTTCTCTTCTAACACCCTACATTGCAACTGCAAAATGTTAATAAAAATTATAAAACAATAAAAAAGTTCATGTAAGTACACGTGAAAAAGATGAAGAGAACCGAAGTAAAAATAAGTCAATGTCAGAGCTTATTTAAAAAGAGAAAAAAGCATTGATCAAAATGAAGTAGTTATATCAATCTGGAGGAAAGGAATAAAAAGAGATTCGAATACATTGATCGAGTAATAAAAGAAATAATAAAAGAAAGGAATATATAAAGATATAGTTTTGCCCTATGACCTATGATTTCACAACTACTATACACCCTTCCCCTTAATGACGACGCGTAGAAATTAAAGTTGTTGGATATAGAGACCTGCTCGATGGATAAATTCCAAACGTCCTGCACGGAAGAGTGCACTTTTTCTTGAGGTAATAAAACCAGTCGATTTTCACGTATAATACCGCTTCTTAGTTTAATTTCTCTATAGATTTTTGATGACACGTAAGCTCTGTAACGGACGCCTTGCAGAAGCGATTACCATCGTTTATAGCAATATAATCGTGTGTGATTACCATATATTATTGTCGAAGGAACGATCGGTATTATCATCAGTATATACCTGTAAACACCTATGACCGAAGTGTAATGTCTCGTGCTTTTGGCGTCGTGATTCGTAAATATAAATTCATATCGACAATTTCGAAACGAAGTCAATACGTGAAGAGCTTGCACATATGCGCCATGAATCTAAAAAAAAAAGGCTCGTTATCGTTTCGCGCGCAACTAACATTTATTAATATTAAGTAATACGCGCGTAAGTAACTGCACCACCCATATCATTTTATTGTACAATACATACATCCTAAAACCTACCGCTAATGTAAAATATGATATTCTCACGTACCGTATGAAGAATTTTCGTATTCACTGCGATAAATGTATTGTATCCTATGCCTATATATACATATAAACGTAATGAAATCGATGGGTGCGTTTCGCTTCGCTTTGAAAGAAATGTTTCGAACGTACTACAACTAGACAGAGATTGACTAAAAAATTATATATGTATTTCCACGTATCAAGTTGCAAGTACATGTTCTACATGTGTGTATTCTACTATATATATGCGGCACGCAATGCGTGTACTCTAATCTCATTTCATACTCAAGTTGATTCGTGGCAAGGATAAAGAATGCCATATGACCCTCAAGTTGGTGACAATCAATCTTCCTAGATCCCCGGCATTACCCTTCGTATCTTCTATCATGTCAAGTTTGTCAACGGTAAGTTCACCAGGTCGTAACTGCATATTACTGCCATGTAAGAAAAAGACGATTTCTTCTCAAATACTAGGTATACCGCTTTGCTTCGTTCGTCGAGTGTGCTCACAATGCTCCGCGCGCTCTCCGTTCTCCGCTCCACACTCGACGAACGAAGATGGAAAACGAAACTCATACGCTGAAAGGCGATCGGCTCGACAGTTTGAAAATAATTCAATTTTATAATTACGAATGAGAAATGTCAAATTTGACTTCGTTGTCTTGCCACATTCTGTGCGTCGCGTCCTCAGCTAAACGAGACGCGAAGACGACCGCGCGACGTTGTCCACACTGTCGTGGACTGGACGTACTGGAAACTGGAAATCAATATATTGTGTGTTGTCATACCTACAGGCACACAACACAACAGTAATGACGTGACAGAATCGGAAGCAATGGAAGGCGATACTTTTTCGCGCATAACGCGCGACGCAAACGCGTTTTCGTTGGATCAAATATATATGTATGTGTATAAAATAGAATCGGATCAATAATACGAAAGCTAAAGGCGAAAGAAAAATGATATATTTCCGCCTCGAGTAATGTTACGTGTTACGCCGTTACAAGTTACAATAAAAGTACATAAAAAATTGATTGTTATAGCATTGTTATACTATTACTCCTCCGGCCAAGGTTTGCCCACACCCTGCGACGCACCCATCCTGGACGGATCTTGGCTCGGATAATGAATGGGGGTCGTTCCCGGAGGGAAGATGGGTGTCGCGGCCGCGGCGGCGGCGGCAGCGGCGGCGGCGGCGGCGGCCGCAGTTGCCATTTGCGGCGGGAACATAAACTGAGGGGCGGCCGGCGGCGGGGGGATCATCATCGGCGGTATCATGCCGCCGGGGGTGGGTTGCAGATTGAAAAGGTGGTGCCCAAGGGTTCGGGCGGCGGTGGCGGTAAGGCGCCAGGTAAACCTGGAACAGGCTCGAGAATCTCCCTGGTCGCTTCCGCCACGGACACGGTCTGCCTTCCCTGCGAACGGCCCCACTTTATGGTCAGCCGCCTTCCACCTAATATCAGCTTGTTGAACGTCCTTTCGGCTGCCGCCTCGGCAGCGCTTCTCTGCGTGTATTGGATGAAGGCGCACTGCTGACGCGGCACCATCGTCACCGAGCGGATTTCGCCGTACTGATAGAAATGATCGCGCAGCTGTTTCTCCGTTAGCACGTCGCCCAGATTGCCGATGTACAACGTCGTGATGGACTTGTCCTCCGGTGGGTCCAGCTTAGGCATGGCCGCTGCCCTGCGCATCAGTTTATCCGCCACCGGATCGTTGACCCCGTAATAGCGATCCTTAATGTTCTGATCTGCCAACGGGTCGTCGGGATCCGTTGGCTTCTCGTGCCGATAAGGACATTCCTCGCCTCTCTTGCACTCGCCCTTAACCCAAAACGAACAAATGTGCGGCCTGTTCCTCTTGTAATACGGACTGGTCCTGGCCAGCTTCATCAGCAGATCGCTAGCCGCGGCGGACTTGCCGACCGCGCCGGCCGGCGTCGTCGAGTCGATCTTTCCAATTTCGTTGTCTATGTTTTGTACATAGTACTCCTTATTTACATCGGAACGTGGTAAATCGTCCTTAATTTTCAAAGCGGCGTCGCGAACCTGAATCGGCAAGCCATACTCCAAATCCAACAGACACGTTTGACAGACGTTCTTCAATCGACTGCACGTCTGACAGACTTCGGTCTTCTTAAATCTCATCCTCGCTCCCGGACACCATCTGAACACCGTAAACGGCCGCATACATATCTTGCATTCCTTACCATATCTCTCCTTTGTCTGCAAATCAATGTACATACTATGTACATACATACACGAACGTTATCACGCTGATCGTGATGTGATGTAGGTTAGGGTTAGGTTAAACGTCTACTAGTTAATGTTACCGTTCACCGCGTTAATCCGGACAACACGTGTTGCGTTACGTTGCTTCTCGCTTTGCTTTAATAATGCTTTAATAATGTAATAATAGGCCACTCGTGTTTTACCGAGTTACTCACCATACGAATGTACGGATTGTCTCCTAAGCACGTCTGACACAGTATCGGGAACTCCTGCGTGAGAAAAATACAAGCAAGACAGTGGTAAAAGAGAAATAAAAAATGTGCCATTTTCACTGGAAATGAGAACCGTGTTAAAAAATTGTTTTACACTCACCGCATCCTCCCAATTTTGTCTGTTATACGTATTGGTAGTCTTTGACGTAGCCATTGCGCGTTAATCGGTTAATAACACAACTTATCTTAAAATAATATAGAAGGAATTCATTAATGCAACACCTGCACCACTTGCAATACACATCGATACTGTATACTGTGATGTACCATGTACCATACCATAAAAAATATTTCAAGATATTTCGCGATATTTTGGCCGACTCAACACACTACACTACAGACAGAGGGAGCGTCGAGCGTCGAGCGTCGAGCGTCCCATTTGACCACAACCACTCACCGCTCTCACACAGCTTCCGGTGTCTGGATTTTTTCCTTTGGACCAACCAATCAGCCACGTGACGTTGACGACAAAAAAAAGAGAGAGGATATAAATCACGTTGGTAACAACGAAAACACACGTGTAGGCACCATATTTAATTTCTGCGGCGTGGTAACATTTTTTGCACATGCGTGCGCGTTATGTGTAAAACACATGGAAAAGTAAGTGGCAAGTGCGACGAAAATCGTTATTCGAAATGATTCGAGAACAGAAGCAAGTGGAAAGGCGGGTGAAATCTTTTTTTTACGAGCAAGCTTAGTAAAAACAGAGTGACCGCAAGAAAATGGGAAACGAGGAGATAATACAGTTGCGTGAGCTGAAAGAAGAACTCTTGAGAAAAGTAATTCGTTTGAGAGATAAAATGAAGGATCAAGAGGAAAACGGACGTCGAGAGTCAATTAATTTCGACAGGTAAAATATCTGTCAAACGTCGTGCATAAATGTTTCATGTGTTCACACCATTTTTCCATTTTACCATTTTATCATTTTCGGTTGATTGTAGCACGCTGCCTTCCGACGATCAAGATGAAAAACTGTCGAACGTGTCCCTATCCAGCAGGTACAAAGCTAAATTGTGTGAGATTACGGGTCAAGTGACGGGAATAACATTCAAGAATGTCGATAGAAAATGGTTACGTGATGATACTTATATGTATATGGCTAAAGTGATAACGAAAACACGTTCCTTTAATGTTGAATTAACAGTGACTTTTAAGGTGCGCAGGGAGGATGTGATTATTATTATTAGGTACATTCACGATTCTATATAATCGACTGTTTCTTATTTCTTACGTTCTTTTTCTCAGGATCAACATGAATTTAAAATTGAGGACATAATGTGCCACTTTATAAACGTCCACGATTGTCATATGCTGGAAATATCTCCTTGGTTTCGGAAAATTACTAATATGAAAAACTTTTCTCTCCTTATGTCCGGTAAATAATCGCACATTGAGATTTGTCTACAAATCCATACACGTGTCATGTAATAAAGGCTATATTTTGTTTCAGCACTTTCCGATTACAATGAAAACGATATCCTCAGATCTAAGATTCTACGAAATTTAGAATTAAAGAAATATTCGAGCGTCGAGCAATGCACTCAGGAAGATGGAGGTATACTAGTGCATATGCATTCACCTGTAAATACAGACAAGAATTATGTGATATGTCAGTGGACAATGAAATTTTTGGACCTGACGTGGCGGATTGAGCATTTTTTCACAATGAAATCTACAGATATAGGTAAGAAATGCCCTTACCTTTCGTTCGTGTTAATAAACAAAGAGAAACCCTGGGAATGACCAAGCTTTGATCGACTTAATCGGCAACTCCTGCAACGGTTTGTTAACGTAGAATTATTAGTTTGTTATATGTATGTACAACACATGTAAATACATATAAATAGAGTAGATTGGACACGGCAAATTACATAATCGAAAATTTTGTAAGAACGTCCGGTTGAGTCGATGAGCAAAGTTACGTGCATTTGATCAAAGACATTCTAAAAAATAGTGAAGAATGAATACTATTAATTTGTGGATTTAGGTATGGAATTTTCCGAAGAAAATTGTTCTTTATTAAAAGAATTTTGCAAGATTGGCTTAACGAAAAACAATCTTGTGGAACTATGGGAAAGGCTGTGCATCGCTATTGATGCTTATCATGCTAGAGGAAATATCTGACAAAACTGATCATTTATCTTGAATCATGAAACTATATTAACGATTATATAAATTTATTTTATTATTAATTTCCATTATTTAAATAGGACAGTATTCTGCTATACATTATCACTTGACGAATTTTGCTACGAGTTACGTCCGTCGCATTTGTTTATTCAAGTTTTTTTTAATGCAAACACGTATTGTGTGTGTGTATGCAACGCAAAGATTAAGATGCAAACCGAGTTTTCTTCAGTGTAAACATAATAAAGAAAATCCATCAATTAAAAAACTAACTTTTTATACTTCTCTGTGCTTGCGCGCGCGTATATCTGTACGTTGTGATAGGTGGGGTACAACCAGAAAGATAATTGATCTACGTGAAAAAAATTTTTAATATCAAGTTCTTTCGTACTCGAGATTTTGTTTTCGAGAAATTTTGAAAATTGCAACTACACTATACTCGACTAAATTATCTCGACGCTCGACAAATTTTGCTACTATATTGTCGCACTTGTCATTATCATGATTTGTTTTATATTTAGCTTACATTTACGCTATATAAACTCTCAGTTTTTGTTATGCTATTAATATGGCTAGACGAAGCAATCGAGAGAACCGGTATGGATACACGTCTCATCTTGGATGCATATGGTGATAATATTTCTCTATGGCGACAGTGATTCCCCTGACACAGATACATATTTAAGTGCACGCATCTGAGATAAATTTTCAAAATCGATTTTTTATTCACATACACAGGTATGTACACATGCATGTATGCTCTTGGATCTATTGTAACAGGAAGAACAAAAGTCGGAATCCCCAGTGGCGCAATCGGTTAGCGCACGGTACTTATAAACAGTAATTCAGTGAGCAATGCCGGGGTTGTGAGTTCGAGCCTCACCTGGGGAACTTGTTTTTTTTTTTTTCCCCCCTTTTTTCCTTTTCATTTTATTCTTTCCGTCATCGCTTTACTCTAATTGACACAACACATTGTTTGCATTGCGATTGATGATAATGTGCGTTGAACAATTAAAATGTCAATAACAATTTATATCCAAATTTGATGTATACAATAATAAAAATTGTCATTGCAATAAACTTTAAAATATAAATATTTAATCAAAACGATAAACGTATAGTTTTCGAAGACATTGCAAATATAAAACTGGAGATATTTACGTGGAAAAGCGTATGACAATTGAATCATTGTCCAGACAGTTTGAATCAGTAATTTATTGATTAAAAAAAGGCTAGACAAAAGACTAGAACACTGCAAAGACATGTGACGTGCATCTTCTACTTAAGGATAATTTTATTAAAATAAACTGCGAAATTTGTACAAAATTAACGTCCGTTGCGTCTCGCAACAACTATACAACTGTACAACCGCTTATTCTTGACACGTACTTTCTTTAGTTACACTTTCTTCTACAATTTTGCGACGATTTCTCCATGCTCTCATATACGTTCTTGGATGAACAGGTAAGAATCCAGCGAGTCCTAATAAATCTGCAACGGGTGTGGTTATCTGTGCACCTTTGGCCAGCCAATATTGTATCCTTTCGAAATTGAAGGACACTAATTTTTCATTGTGCACATTTGGAATAGGGTCGTAGACGCCAACTTGTTCTATTGGTGGACTTCTTTGCGCCTTTTTCACCTAAGGTAAAATTGAGTGCTTAATCAATTGATTTCTAGCTAGAAAAATGTTCCTTCTTGTTCCGACTTCTCTACATGGCATTTATATCTTTCAGCCTCTTTTTTTTTTTTTTTTTAAAGCGTGCGTGATATAGTTACAAAAATTATTTAAAAAGTATAGATAAAAATGCACTTTGTAACGACATTAACTTGTAACAATTCTTGAAAAACAAACTAAGCCGACTTACATCTATTACGACGATATGATAGAACGGTCTATTGGTGCAACCGTAACGAACAAGACGTAGCGCCTTGCTCAGTGGCGAAATAGTACCTGTCCCAGACGAAGGATGTAAAGGTAATCGAGGCATATCTCTTTGTTTGTTTATTAATATTAAAAAATTAATCACCGCTTTTATGAACGTGCTTGTTTACGATGGACGAGACAAACATAGGATAGGATAGGTTAAACCACGGACAATCAGAAATCATGGCCCTGAACTGCGCATATGGCGTGAAAATCAGTCTGCTAATAGCTAATGGCTTCTGCACACAGAACGCGAAAACGCTTGCCGCGCGGCAAGAAGCGACGCGGTAGCCAATCAACGTGTTGCTTTTCCGTAAGAACAAAAAGTTTATTGGCTACCGCGTTGCTTCTTGCCGCGCGGCAAGCGTCCTGTGTGCAGAAGCCATATGAACGCGGAAACACTTGCCGCGCGCGCGGCAAGAAGCGACGCGGTAGCCAATAAACATTTGGTTCTTACGGAAAAGCGACACGTTGATTGGGCAGGAGCCATGTGAGCAGAAGTCATGAGGCTGAATTTCCACTGAGCGCGTCACGCGTTGCGCTCAGTGGAAACTCGGCCCAAACTGGGACTAATGCAGCCAAATAACTGGCCAACCAATAAAAGTTTTCTTCAAAACGTGGCGCGACATTTGAATTTTTAAATGCAGTATCAAATCAGCTACGATAAGAGCGAAAACAAAATTAAAATTTATATAATGTACATAAATAAACAAAATTTAAAAATTACTATCAGAAAACTTGGTAGATTAATAAAAATATACGTTACGTTCCGAGTTGGGTTTTCACTGACATTTTATAATTTCAAATATTTTATAGTCATATATAGGGTGGCAGCTCTATAATCCGTTGCATAATTTTGATGCCAGGATAACGTCGCAAAAGAAGGAATATTGGAAGGATGAATATATAACAGAGTTTAATAATTGTAGAATTGGGAACTTCCGTTCGCTTGCAACCATTTAAACCGCAAAAGAATGTATGTTCAACCTCTCTTTTTTAGCTATTTACACACCCGCATCCACACCCATTCAAAAATAAGAATTTTATAAATCCAAGCGTGCAGGAAAAAACGGTATGATATATTTTTTCGCAAGAATAAAATAAAATAAAACTTGATATTTTGATCGTTTTCAATCGATTCACTCTCCTTCCCTAATACGACCGATCATATTCAATGAGACACGTACAATTATAACGAATTGTTCAAGACTCTTCAGTACCGTTTCTCGCACGCTTCCCTAAAAAACAAATCGACGATCTCGGATCTGCTTTCTACCTCGCGTTTGTTACATACGCAATCTGCATACTTACGATATGTGATATAGATATATAATGCGAGCGATATATAATATCGTGGGCGAGTCTTCGATCTAAATAACGAATATGGGAACGTCGTGCAAAATTATGCGCTACGTTTGTATATCATATCGTATCATATCTCCTTTATATCATCTTGACTGTACGTCGGCAATTGGATTCTTATTAAAAGATCTCCCGTCGATAGATCTTTCTTTGTCGGCGTGACAAAACTCATCTGCCCGTCATCGTGATGTTGGACGAAAGTGTCCAACACCGAATAAAACATACGAGAGATATCGAGAACATTCAGCCAGAGTCGAGAAAATCGGAAACTTCCCCACTTAATTTATCGGTCAAAGCCAAACTAGTCCACTATAGTGTTTGTGCGTATAAACCAAGCGATAGACATTTCGATCGTATCGTACATTTATTTTGGTGGAATTTTCTCAACGCATACCTACAGTACGTACACATACTCGCGTACACACATACATACACATTAAACGTCTAAAGGCGAGATGAAATCAAAATTATACATAATAGACGCGAGTCAAACTAAATAAAGATACACTGAATTGTGACACGAATATATGTAGGTATATCGACACAAGCTTCTGCTCGCACTGATATTACTGATGATATATTATATAGCGTCTCTCCGCATACAATGTATGTGTACTATAAACTTACAACTAAACAATTACGACGTGATAATAAAAACTTACGCAATGAGAATTATTGTGACTTAATATATATCTCATAATATTAATATATACATCGTATGAGATACATGTATAACGTTGTTGTCGAAATTATATGATATTACATTGTAGTCGAGATGGACGTGATCCTTTACGCTTGGTCTTCCGAGTCCTATTCGTCGGACGTATTATAGAGAGCCCGTTTTCACCAAGCGTAAAGATATGCCCGCCTTCTTCGAAACGCTACATTCTTTGGAACTTGTTCTAAAACTGAATTAGACGGCATTGTCGCCGAAATTATTTCAATACCTCGCTCACCGTTAAATGCGTGCTCATCTCTCTCTCTCCCCCCCCCCTCCCACTCTCTTTTACATCAAGTTTACGTTAAAGGCTGGCGTGAAAAGTGACTTAGATCTTCTTATATGCTGCTGAGCGATCAGCGACGAATGTCGTTGAAATCTCGTAATATTCGATTACTATATAGGCGTTTACATATTGATAACGATGCATTTAACGATACTGTGTTACCGTGCTTCGATCGAATAACTCTTTTACAACATGAACTTTTCATATATTATTTTTATTTATTATCATTCAAGTATATATTTATAGTTGTAACTCAGAATAGCCGCGTAACACTCTCGGATCGGATAGCGTTCGCGAATAGTGGGTCATCAAGAGAAAAAAAGATACAAAAGTAAGATACGAAAAGATAAAAAAAAATAACTCTCTTTTTGTGAATTCTTGCAAATAGCTGAATCATTTGAAAACACTGAGATATATATGAAATTTCGATAAGGTTTTACGCTCAACCGAAAATATCGTCTGTGTGTAATAACATCCATAATAATTAATAATTTTTCTCTTTCTTTCAGGGTACTCTTAATATCTGTGTTAATACCCGACCGACCCGTTATTGTCAATCTGATAAATCTGATAAATCTGATAAACCTGATAAATCTGTCTACATTTCGCTTCTATACGTGATGCTAATGCGTAACAATGCAAGCTTGCGTAACAATACCATTATTATGAGACGCGAAACTTTCTCATGCAATTTAACAGGTTTACGGTACGATAATCAACGAAAGGAAGTAGTAGCGTCACCGATCGAGGTTTAAACGTTTCCCGACTTTCCCCGTTTACTCAATTCGAGAGCGAGAGCTAGTTCGGCGTCTTCCTTCTCCTTACGCCTGAGCCGCTCTTCTTCCGCTTTTATACTTTGCTTTTCTGCCCACGCAAGTTGCTCGTCCTCCGATAAATTCGTTATGTTATTACCGTTCCACATCTTGCCGAAGCTGTCGGCGAGTTTCTCATCGTTATAAATGACATTGGACTTAAAAGCGTGCGCTACATCTGATTCGTGCTGCCTCGCGACGGCCTTCGCGTCTTTACTCGCGAACGCTTCGTCGAGATTGATCGTTTTCGCCTTGACGTTGGCGAACGCTTGAGAAAAATCAGCCTCGATGTCTCGAACGTTTTTGTTATCGGCGGAAAAGGCTTTCCCAAAATCGACGTCGAACTTGCTCGCGCTGCTCGTGCTCGTGTCACTCGTACTGTTCCTCTCGGCTTTCGCTTTAGCGAGCGGGAAGGTACTTGAGAAATCATTGTCGAAAACTTTAGCCAAAGTGTTTTTACTCGAGAACGCGGATCGCGTCTCGAAGCCGAAAGGATCAGTCTTCTCCGTCCCCCTACTGCTGCTGCTGCTCCTCTTGTTCGCGTTCAGGTCCTCCGCCTCGTCGGCGAACGGGTCCGTTATGTTGAAAGGGTCTTCGTAACGATAATCTCGAAAGGGATCCTCCGTAAAGTCCGACAGCTTCGGTTGCGCCATCGCCGCTACGTGGGTGGTTTTACTCGTCGCTCTTGGTGGAGCCGTTCGATTAGCCGTTGGTTCTGGCTGAAGCAGGTTTTTGTCACTGGTCAATTTCGTTTTACTGAAAAGGTAGAAGAGAATGACGCGGATCGCCGTCGACTGTCCTCGCCGGCTGCTCGGGCTGGCAGATTAGGCCGCTACTCTCACACTACGTCACAAAGCTACGTCGAAGGTGCTGGAATTTTATGCGATGTTCGAGACACATACTTCAAGGACAAACTATATACGCAAGGTAAGAAACCTTACGTGTATCGTTATCCATTATAACGTGGTTCGAATACATCGCAGAAAATAAAACTAAAATCAACAATAATCAAATATATATTCATGCGACAATGCAAATAAACTTGAAATAGAAAAATTCCTAAAAAGAAAAATGATAAATAAATTAATTTGCAGACGATACACTCCAGAAGGCAGCTCAATAGTAGGAAAACAAAAAAATTGTGCAGCTTCTACCTAAATACAAAACAAAATTAAATACACAATCAATTAAATCACGTAAAAATCACAATTTTATATTCTTCTTGATTGTATAGGGAATAATTGCCGCGAGATGATTTTTAACGTGATATATATATATCATCGTCAAAACTAATTTGTTGGTATCAAGTTTGACGAATGTAAAAGTTAATTAACTTGTTGTCTTCTTCGTTCTATCCGTATCTATCGATCCGTATTAGGAAAGATTTGTGTGAGTGACTTTTTGATAAGAGACTCTAGTTCCTAGTACCTACTATAAGGTCAAGTATCATCGTGTTGTGCATCCATATATTTAAATTTATAGATTTATAGATAGTGGTATGTTCTCTAACAATTGCGGGCAAATATTTTCCAGAAAGTCTGAATACCTATACTGTGCCACGTGCACGAGTTTGAAATTTTTGTTATTGTGTCTGGAACATGTTTGCCTGCCCACAGGCAAGGGCTCAGTTTTCGAGTAATTCGCCTGATGAAAATAAGATGGGACACCTTGTATATGAGTATCCTGTATCACCGTGTATACGTATGAACATCGCGTAAGGCAAGTTCCTCTGGTATTCATCTATAAAATTCACTCATCTGTCACTCATATATCACATGTCTAATTGTAAGTGAATTGTAAGTAAACTAGACAATCATGACAGTATTAGAAAAAATAGTCAAGTTTCCCTGGGTTGTGTATATGTATTTAAAAAATGTATAAAAGTTGCTAAGAGAGAAAATAACGCAAAAGGAAAACAAAAGGCGAAAACAATTACGAAAAGTGATTGTATTTAGAATAAAAGATACCATTAAATACGCACCTTGGAATCAAAATTGGCAAAGTCGGCGAATCCGGAAGATGCGAAACTATTATTGTTATCGATTGTTGTTTGCTGAGCGCCAAATGGATCTGAATTTGCGTTCGCAAATGGATCTGGAGTGGGTGAAGGCGTTGGGGGTGCGGGTGCCGCTCTCATTGGACCAGTAGTAGGACCTTGACTCGGTCGTGGCGGAGCCGGTCGTGGCGGTGGTTGCTTCGCTTTCTTTGGTGGAAGAGCAGGACTGGGGCTCTCGGGACGAGGAGGCGCATGAAGATTGGCAAAGGGATCCTCTCCAAATGGATCCTTCGTGTTCTTAACAGAAAACCATTGTTCCTATCAGCATCTTATTTAACAACGTTTCGATATAGCATGAAATATATCGACCAGGTATTCATAATCTTAATACTAATAATTTTATCTATATCTTTAACTCTCCGAAGTCACACCTCCTTTTTTTTTTTTTTTTTTTTTTTTAATACACCCCGGCCGCACTGGGGTGGTCGCCACCCAGACGGATTCAAAGTCTCATAATTCAAATTAATGTGCACATAAAAATTCATGAAACATCTTAAGGGTGTTGGTCAAAAATATATATATGGTGCAGAATCCGAAATGTGCTCCCAATTTTTTATAAAAAAATCGATTCGATATTAAGTAGCAGCCATTTAGAAATTATGTAAAAATGGTGTTATTTTAAGGGAAAAAAATACATCTTGCATGGGCGTTCCAATCAACATAATTACTTTGAAGATCAAAGTTGAGATTTTGGGTAGGTAAGGCGAACGCGTATTTTCACATTTTAATTTATGTATTTCTGATTAAAATTAAACTAAAGTGTATTTTTATTAACAAATATTACATAAATACCTCAGAAAAGATAACTAATTGTAAGATAAAATAAAATGTAGATAATTAAAAATATCGCCCTGAATTTTTGTCAGGGTGGCCGCCACCCTGTGTAGCCTCGAAGGGTTAATACTTTCTCCCAACTTCATCGTGCTATCGTGCCAGCGAGACAAAAGTGGGAATTGGAAAAAGTGTTAAAAACAAAAACTGTTTAAAACCAAACCGGAGTTAAAAATATGGAGGTTTTGACCAAACGTTCGCAAACAAGTAAAATTTTACATACCGACGTAGCTGCGGGTGATTTATTCTCAGCTCGCTTTCCATTACCAAATGGATCGAAAGGATCTTGCTTTGCCGCTACGTTAGTATTATCGAACGTGGTAAAAGGATCTGCCGCAAAACCATTCTATAGGATGGTTTTTTTGAAATTAGTGACCATGTGCTTAAAGAATGAAAGATTAAAATATCGCTCATAAATATTACATCGTTATAGTCAAACACTGCAGTCTGACATTTTCTACTTTCTGCTTCATCTTTTTCTCTGTCATCTTTTGTTCTTGCGCTCTTCTTCCACTACTTCGTTCATATTTACGTGACTGCGTAACCACGTTTTCTATCTTTTTTGTTTGTTTGTTTGTCCACTCTACACATCGTCGCGTAGATATACGCATACGCAAAATAATGAAAGAGTAGAGCAAGAGAAAATGTCGTAAGAAGCAGGAGAGTAGATGAGCATAGTACGTGGACATGGCCGTAAAAAGAACTTACGTTAGATTGTTGCGTGGGAAACGCGCTTCCGAACGGATCCGACATCGTTGCGCTAAATGCTTCTTTGGCTTTATTCGATGCGAAAGGATCTTGGTCTCCAAATCCGTTTAAAGCGCCAGTCCCGATTGCATCTGCTTTTATTTCATTCGTCTCACCCGTATTCTTAGTTGTCGTTTCGTATCTATTTTTTTTTTTACAACACACATACACACACATATAATTCCGATAAGAAAATTCGTCTCAAATAAAGTATATGCAATATATACGCACTCCAAATCTTCGATCTCGGGTATAAATTGTAGACTAGTATCAGGTACAAGATTGACGTCTCCCGCAGCGAGTGCAGAGTCATAAAGCGCAATGGCATCGCTCATCTGACGCTGTTGTTCCTGTAAATGAGTGATCTTTGCCTTTGCTTGACAAATCTCTAACTGAGTATCTTGCAACTTTTTCGTCAGCTCATTTAATTGGTCCCTGTTTTTGTTCTGTTGCTGCTCTAATTGCTGCTCCTCTTGCCGCAGCCCTTCGAGCTCTTGCCTCTTGAAGTTTAGCTCTTCTTCCTGACCCCGCAGCACCGATTCTTGTTCCTCAGCTTGTTGACGGAGCTTATCGACCTCGAAGAAGATAAAATTGATTTATAAAGATTTGTATTTGCTTATCCCTCCCCTTCTCTTCCCCGTAAATTTCAAGTAAAAATAATAAATTGCACATTATTATCCGGTATATAATTGTATGTTGCTATTACGTTTGTACAATTGATATAGTCAAAACATAAAGAGATACACGATTTGATTTTATTTATTTGATAATATATTATTTAATTTTGCTACAGTTACACGTTATATGTCACGGGAAAGAGTGTAATAGAAAAAGTGTATAATTCATGCCAGAAAAGCACCAATAATGCATTAGCGCTATCAGTGCGTATGTTTTGTACAAAAGTAGAAGTTGGAAAGCATAATATAATAGAGATTGTAGGTTTTATTTACTTTCGCACAAAAATGTTTTCAAAGGACATATATGTATTTACCTATCAGTGAAAGACGATGTTAGCGATATTATACACACACCCCAGCGCACGAGCGCGCATAAGACATGTAATACGACATGTAATACACGCGCACATGCACGCACGCACGCACGCACGTACGCACGCATCGTAGAAACATAACAAAATATGTAATTACGTAAAAGAAGAAAAAAGAAAAGAAAAAATTTACCCGAGATTTATTTCCTAATAACCGCGACAGATATTCGTACGTAACGAACGACATTATAATGCGCAAAGGTAACGATCCACTTTAAGCGAAACTGTCATCTTTTTATGTACCTTCTTCAGTTCCCTCTGAATCTTCTCTTCGACCTCACTCAAATCTCTATCTACTTCGGTCTTCTACAAACCAAACATAATAAAACAAAATCATAAAGAAAAATATAATACAAAGAACTAGATGCATAATTAGTAAAATCAAACTTTTTTCTATTTTCCTCGCTTTTCTTCCCTTCCCTTTCTTCAAAATTTACTGCCTATAATTAATTACGATTGTGTCACAGAGATATACGTCAGTAAACGCCGTTAACTCTTGCTTATTATGTATGCAAAGTGAATAAGTAGATGATTAATTCACAATAATTACGTAGTAAAAAAAATAATAACGATCAAGAAAACAGTAAGAAAATGGATTAGGATAGACGTATATAATAAATGTAATTTATGTCTTGTATTACTGTCGTATCTGTGGTCTCTATGTATTATTATTCGTACGTAACAAAACGTAAATATAACGAATGTATTGGTATACTCAAAAAGTGCAATAGCTTACATTTATTATTACTTCACTGCACTTATTAAATATCGTTATGTAAAAAATTGGCTTCATCTTACAAGAGCAAGCGACAACTGTATATGCGTACCACTACCGCACCGTAGTTGTACCTATAAAAAGCAGTGCCGCGGACATTCAGTAAGCAAGCCGGTTACATTACCGAACTTCCGTTTACCTGCGCTTTCAAATCGTTCAATCTCTTCTGCGCCTCACCCTTCTGATTTCCAAGTTGCTTCAGGGTTGCCGCAAGCGTGTCCAATTCGCTTTGAAGACTCTTAATCTCCCCGTTCTTTATCTTAATGTCGGCTTCCTTTTGCGCTATATCCTGCTCCATGCTTTGTCTTTCACGCACGAGTTCCGCTATGTCTTTACTTATCATATCCAATTCCGGATTCGAATAGCCTGATATGTTATTGTTTTCCTGTACAGTATAGAAACATATTTAGAAATGTTAATATCTGATCAACATTTCCTACCATATAAAGAAATGACATGTATTTCAATACATCTAAAATTCATTTATACTGGAAAAGAAAGATGACGTCTATAAATTATAAGGATTTCAACGTAACTCAACGTAAAAAACAAAGTGTTAATTATGTAATTCTAATGTAGATAAATCCAAGATTGTCTGTCTACAAGGCACACGCCATTTCGCCATTAAGAAGCCTTAAGGTATTTAATTGTTTGATGAATTCTTGATTTTTTATATGTATATGAAAAAAAATGACACGACATTAGATGGATATTTCATTTCATATATTGCGAATACTTCACGCGACGACTCATGGCACAACGATAATGAAGATATCCGTTGTGCCAATTATCTTAATCTATTATTTAAACAACATATATTTAGCTTTGCTACTACCAAACTTGTTAATCAAGTACGAATTACGAAAAAAGATTATCAATAAATTGTTTAACGACAAACACGGTAGGTAGGCGCTTTGATAAAAAAAAAAAAAAAAAAAAAAAAAAAAAAAAAGAGACCCGCTTACACGTGATTAGATGTACAGATGTCGACATTTATATGATGTATAAATATATATAAATACATAATTGCAATTATAAAAATATTTAAATGATTGTAATCATAACAAGGTGACGAAATGTTTCTGAATATCGACGATTATGAATACCCGAGAGCTAACAAGACCCTGAGACATCTACACAAACAACAGTGGCTAGATTATTACGAGTGCCTGGAGGAAATATATGCGGACGTGAGGCACGACAAAATTACTTATCCGAGCGCGCTCATAGCGCTCGAGGGGACGTCCGTAACGTGCGATTGATCAACAAGATAATCTTAAAAATTTGTCATGCACAATTACGGTGAAATTTGAACGAATTGATTGATTTACAGTTTAGAATGCCAAATCTGCATCTCGCCGATGGAGATACATGTGACCTCTCTAATAGAATGGTATTTTAACAACAGCAGTGAAAGCAGTAGCGCTAAAAGTACACTGCGGAATACAGATCGCATTCTTAATTCACCAGATAACCGATATATCGTCATGTACAATGTCAAGGTATAAACCCCGAAAAGAGTTATAGCATACGTGTAACTCTGCAAAAGATCAGACAGGCGGAGATACTCTGTATGTTTTATATATATAATATATACACACACGTTATTGAAAAAAGAATGACTTTTGCAATAATGTTAATCTCAATAATATAAATAGTATAATTAATAAATTAATAATGATTCTCAGTTAGAGCAAGCGGGGTCGTATTGGTGTGAAGTAGGAGATACCGTAGGGTCAGTTTACCATTTACATATTGATAGCGATTTGGAAACGATGAATGTACATCCAGATAGAACAGTATTGGTGGAAAATGTGCCGGAATACAAGCTGAAGATTTATACTACTTGGACAACATGGAGTCCTTGTTCTATGTGCGACGCGGTCGGGATAAAGCTGCGATACGGTTACTGTACTGTCTCTCTTTCAGAAATGTCAGAGCATAAATATCTTGTTAACGAAAGCGCATCGACAATGAATGAATTGCAACATATGAAGCGAGGTATAACGAAAGGTAAGTAAAAAAGCAAAATCTCCTTTAAATATTTCCTTTTGCTAAAACTCCTAAATTAAATTTCAAGCCGATGAATGGAATCGAGCGCACGAAGGCACGATGCAGACGGAAGTGACAAATACAACCTTGAACGTTCAATTGAGAACGGCGTTAATGTTATTTAAAAACAAGCTACCGTGCAAATCGAGACTTGTTCCAGAACAAGTGCGACTAATACCCGTTATTAAAAAGAAAAAAACTGCAATTATGAGACGATATTGCAAGGTATGCGCGCGGCAGAAGTCTTAAAGCGTATTTATAAAAAACCGGTGAATCTTTGTTTTCTCTCGCAATATGTCGAAATATAAATTAGTCCTTTTACATATGCTACACTCGCGTTCGACAGTTACACATTGGCAAAATATGTCGAAAAAAAAAACTTTCTTCTCAATTATCCGAATCTTAACGAGTAAACGTACACAATTCACTTTACACAATTTCCAATGAGAATTGACTTTTCACGATCAATGATCTCATAGATCAAAGTTTAAAACTATTTATTAATTCCTAAAATAAACAGAAAGTTTTCTCAACTTTATTAATGTATATAAACATGTATATAAATACATGTAATTTAAATAAGGTAATAAACGAAAGAACCATTTCGACGTACAAAGAAAACATTCACACGATGACATGCCACGCAATCTAATGTGGCTGAAATAATAGAAACTTTAAAATGAGGGTCAAATAATTAAAATAGATATTATTCTTGAGACAGAAAAAATGTCAGAAAAGTATCATATTTGAGGTGCGCGATGAAAAAGGCAATGTTCTGGAAAGTGCAAACAATAGCGCTGGTATATTTTCTATGATTCAAGGAATGCCCGAACCGTTGCCATCGATTGCACGTAGCGTAATTTATGAAAAACATGATAAAAAAATCAAACTTGTCTGTCCAGGGTAAAATTTATAAATTCTAATTATGTTTCACTAATCACGATAAATATAAAAAATAATATACAATTTGTTTTAGAAATCTGAATACAGACGTTCCGATTGTTTGGCGAATCAATGATAAAGCGATAATTCCATCTCACATTAAATTCCAATCGAACGGAAGAATTCATATTAATTCTCAGATGCAAATACTATTCGAATCTTTAAAGTTCGAGGATACTAATACATACAGGTAAATTAAATTCGTCAATGGACAAGGTTACATAACAATAATAATCTTAGTAAAAAAAATCATTTTTTTTTTTTTACTACTCTAGTTGTTGGCAGAATAACGAAGTTGCTGGAATAATAAAGCTGAATGTGATTGGAGAGATAGAATTCAAACTGAATCATCATGTTATCTTGATTGGTGCTATCGTTATAATTAGCATAGTTCTGACAATGTTTTGGAGAGCATTCAAGGGACGAACGCGATATACGATGCATTAATAAGTTTTTAAACGCTGACGTGTATTTAATTAAAGTTGTTCGTCATCGACAGTTTATAAAATGAGCAAGAGCAAGCATGCGTTTGCTCTAGTGTCCGAACGGGGGATGAAAGAAAAGCGATAAAGTTGCTTTAAATACAGCATATTGTACGTTGGAGAAAAATATTTTAAAAATATTACCACTATAGTTTCCCCAGCTTTCCGTATAGAAGGTGGTATCATTTCGGGAGTTAAACTCGCCGGAGGATCTATGCCATTAAGTTTTTGCTTGATAAGCCACAAAGCTATGGCAAATTGTTCCTTATTCAGTTTTCCACTTTGACAAATGTCACATAAACTCCTAATTCATGAAATGGTTTTTCGTTATTAATGTTACACTATTGAGAATCTCTGGTAAATTGTCCGTAGTAAAAATGGCACTGTGCTATTACCATATATGCGCTAACACGGGATGTTTAAGTCCACTTTGTAGGAAGACGTCTTTGATCTCTGTACCAGAGACAAATCCGTCCCTATCCATGTCGGCTTGTAAAAATAATTTTTCCGCAGCTACTTGATCCTCGGCCGAAACTACCCATTGTTGCGCGCTTGCCTGAAAATATACGGTATAAGAACATTAGCAGTGTTTTGAATAATGCAGAAACGTAGTAAGCATTACAAGTTTTTAAATTACAGTTTAAAAGATAAATACTTTTACGACGTCTAACCCGGACAAGCTCTTTACAGCCGTAGTATTGGGTAAGGGTGGAATCGGCGGTGGTTGCGGTGACGGTGACGCGGCGGCAATCGCTATGCTCATTGGCGTAGGAGACTTAGCCTTGGGGATAATAATGTCTTTCCTTTTCCCAGGTGGCATTAATTCTGGTGGAAGTACACTTGGTATCGCATATTTTTCCAATGCTTTATACACAAGATGCATAGCCTGTATAAAATAACAATTAAAGTTAGATAAAAAGAAAAGAGAAGAAAATGTAATTCAAGCGATAAAAAAATATCGTTAGGTGTCGCTACACAAAACAAAGTAATAATATTTGTCGTCCAACATAAATTTCTCTACTCGTACTCGAGAATCTCATTCTGCCATTAGAACGTGTTCTTTCAACCAATGCCTAATGCTACGGCGGGATCCATTTGTTATGCAAAAGCTATTTTGGCATATACAAAAAAGTATACGTGATACTCACAACTACAAATTCATGTCTATCCAGCATACCATCCTTGTCCATGTCCGCCAAGTCCCAAATCTTGCCAAGAGTGTCCATATCAAGTTTACTGTCCATAAGAACACCCTTCACTTTATTTCCAGATATATAACCATTGGATGGCTGTAAGCTATCAAAAAGCTGATCATATTTCGCCCGTTCTGTAGGATTAATTGACCAATCTCCATTATTGACGGATGTTATTACAGGCAGAGCATTGGCGATAGTTTTCTGCGGAACGACCGTGATGTCTCCCTGACAAATCACACAAACAGGATAAATGACGCGAGGTTTGTTTCACGTGTGAAAAAAGAAAGAAAAGCATGCGCACGCCGTTTGGCGTGTGCGTAAATTTACCATTTTCGGTGGTGACACGCCGAGGCTTAAATTAGACATATTCAAATCCTTCCCCGTCTGGGCTAACGCGCACAACTTGAGCGCGACAAACATGCCAGACTTATCTAAGAAGCCCCGCGACTGCGGATCAGCCATATCCCATATTTTACTCAAAATAACGTCGCTCAGCTGGGACTTTTTGAGAAATCTCGCAGCGTCCATCGCCTCGATCCGTCCATATCCGTTTGGATCGACCTAGAGGCACAAACATACATGTATATGAAATACACCTCTGCTCTTTCTAAAACCTAATAATAATAACAACAATAATATACCTGATTGTAATAAGCTTCATATATCGCGGTATGGCTTCCAGCCACCTGTAAAAGAAACCAAATTCAAATGTAGGTATTCTTTATGCCTATCTGCAGCAGTAATAGAGCAAGACGAGTAAGGCCTATCTCTCTCTCCCTCAAGTGACATGATGAATAGATGTATTTAATTATTTGACCATGGCCCCATTTGACCCCATCATATCGATAAAAAAGTTTAACAATAACGTCGATACGAGAATAATAAATAACGAGTAAAGCGACTTAAAATTTTCGGCGAAAACAAAAGCGCGACGCTCAAACGTCGACTCGCTTATTTATCGTGGAGCTATACAAGCTACAAGCGTCAAGCGAGCGATGTGCCGCCAAAAGAAGGCAAGTTGTCGCGCCAAGTTTCCGGAACGCATCAATGAAACGAACGACGCTAAAGAGACTTCCTCTCAGGCGAGTAAAAGCTCGACATCAAGATACTTGATATATATATATAATATACGCGAAAAATTACTCGACACTCGAGGCACCAAACTGTGGACCGCCCTCCTCAGACACGGGGCGATCGTGGGCGACGCGAAAGTTTGGCGATTAGCGCGACAGTTTGGTGCGAGTGGTGCGAGTCACGACGAGGGCTTACGGGAGGAAGCTCCTATAGCGCGCGCGAGTCACAACAAACGGTAGTATTCTTGTAAAATCGTCAAAATTGTCATGTACCTGCGTAGGTGACGGCAGGGCGGCCATACTTGCATTAAAGCACTGGCTTAACCAATCAGACTCTCAATCGATAGCGTACGATTTCGATTTTAACACGTTCGTCCAACATTTCGCGGATATACCGCCTTTAATCACTGGACATTCCGGCAAATTATCGTGGAATCTCAATATTCTCAATCCTCTTCCTGCAGGCGCGATCGCGAAATCAAGGATGAGCGACAAGCGCGCGACGACAGAGGGAACTTTCTGAAGAGAAAACGGTTTACACGAGACACGAGTGACGAGATGCGCGACGAAATCTCTCTGTCGTTTTATTCAAAACCACTCGGCTCGAACTATACATTCGTGCTATAGTCTATGTTTATACCATGGTCTATATGCTGTGCTACACGCTCCACGCTACAGTGCTACACCCTGCCACTGCCAGACAGTGGCTGCGTTCCAAAATTCATTTTAGGTTGTGTTCCGCTCTGTGATTGGTTCACAACATCAAGTTGGATGCGCAATACAAAGGCAATAGGAACAGGGAATAGCAACAGAATGTAGATTTCCAACCGATCGGAAAAGCCGTGTATCCATGCATTCTGTATCTATTATCTATTCCCTGTTCCTTTGTATTGTGTTTCTGCCGTTCCTGCCATGGCTTCAGTGAGCGGTCGTGCTTCTGGATGCATCCAGTGCCAGAAAGAAACATGACACGATGAGGCTATAGTGCGATTCTGTAAAGCCTTGTGTACATACACGATACTTGCAATCAACTTGCAGCTTGCAGCTCTTACAGAAAAGCAGCAGTTTCCGTGGCTTAAACCGAAACTCGGACCGATTTCTAGTATCGTGTACACAAGGCTTCGAGGGTCGATTATTGGCCGCGTTCAGCAGACCCAATTGTTGAGTTCGTCTTATCAACGCTCTGCGTTGATTGGTTGGTTCTAAAAGTAAGAGCCAATCACGTTTGACTGCTACTCAACGGCTTGGTCTGCTGAACGCGCCCAATCTCCCTTCAAATTCGATTGTGCGTGGTCACGTCTTACGACTCGCCGTGTAGACCTCTAGCATAAAGTGCTCTTCACACTACGTATCGCGGATCGCGGATCGTAATCTAGCCAATCATGGATGAGCAGCTCATCTGTGATTGGCTGATATCCGATCCGCGTCCGCGATACATAGTGTGACACGGGCATAAAGGGCCGTGATCAGGCTGCAGATTGGGATTGAGATATATTGGATTAAAATTTGACCACGTAGAGCAAAGTTCACTAAACTTGAAGTTAGTTTTATTTATTCTGATTGATTAAATTTCAATCCAATCTCAATCCCAATCCGTAGTCTGATCACGGCTTTATGGCTTCTGTCCACACAGGACGCGCGGAAACGCTTGCCAATAAACTTTTGATTCTTACGGAAAAGCGACACGTTGCGTGGCTACCGTGTCGCTTCTTGCTGCTGCGCGCGCGGCAAGCGTTTCCGCGCGTCCTGTGGGCAGAAGCCATTATGCCCGGTCTACAATGGATGTCGGAAGTCGGAGTCGTAAGAAATTGACCAATCACAGTTCATTATTCTTCGGCCGCAAGGAAAATAATAGATTGTGATTGGTCAATTTCTTACGATTCCGACTTCCGACATCCATTGTAGACCGGGCCTTCGTGTTTGTTTGTGACGTCACACCGACTATGCACCACAACACATATGTACAAAAATCTTTTAATTGATTCCACCCAAAATAATGACGATGCGCAGTACGAATCGGCGCGAAACACAAAAAAGGATTGAGTGAACATACTAGACTCCCTGTATAAAAGTAGTCGCATTCTAATTGGTTTCGCCATTTTGTTACAATGATTGATTGAACCAATACGCGTGAGTCCGCTCAATGGCCAGACTCTCACGAGAGACTCTACTTATGTAAGGACTCTACCCTACCCCAACGCCAACTTGAGAAAACGGATGTAAATGCAAACTACGTAGCCACTCTTGAATCCACTCTTTTCCGCCGGCCCGGCTGCCCTGCTGCTGCTGGTCTTGTGATCTTGTGATTTGTGATTATGTAGGAGATGTAGGCACTAGGCAGCTGGCAGTGGCAGCTGGTAGCGTCGTGGTCGTCAACGTCGACCAGTCGACGTCGTGGTTGACGAATAAATCGCGTTTAACCGTGACGCGAGTTCCAAGTTCCAAGTTCGAAGTAGCAAGGTGGATTTATGACAATCACAAGTTGTGATCCTGCTAACATGTAGTCCCTTCGCAAGCGGTGGTTAAATTAGGTTAAGATCGCAAGAGATTTACTTCTTTTCTGTGACTTGTGACTTCTGTCACGGTATTCAGCTACCAGCCGAAATTGACGAAATTGACGTGAGCTCTGCTGGATTTAGTCTCGAGCAGTCTCGAGATTTAGTTACGACTGCTGTGAAATTTCAGCAGTTAAATTCAATGCAAACTAAGACCGGGAAACAATGAGAACTAGAAGGACTATGGCCATTCTCGGAGTGGGTTTGATCCTTGCCTGCTGCGTCATGATCTATCTGATGATGGATCTGATCCTTCTCCCACCTGGACAGGGTCCTAAGCTTTCCATGAGCAATGTGAGTTTTGATAACCATTTCCAAGTTAAGTGAGAAGAATCATCCTTCTTTTCTCATTTTCGACGATGCTTTTTTAAGTAATCTCTCTGGATTTTAATGGCTCGTAGAAAAATTCCTGTTTTTGACACGTCATTTTTTCTTGTTTTCTTTTTGTCTATTTCGAGTCGAGGTCGCACAGGTCACACAGATAGGAGAATGCTCTGCTAGGTAACGAATCAAGTTAATCAAAGATTTAAAACATTTCTTAATTCCATCGTCTCATCCGTATATCTAACCATTCAAATCGCCAGAGGATTATATCTTTATCCAATTTCTTCCTTTCTTCCTTTCTTTCTTTCAGACTTTTAAATATATTGAAAAATTATTTTACATGGCACGATATATATGTATATGCATACGGCAAACAATCCACTTCTTTTTGATATTGATGAAAAATTGATTATTTTAATTGATTCGCTTTCAAGTGCACACCTTCTCCCATGAGCCAGATTTGCCGCAATTTACAAAAATTACTTGTTCTTTCTCCAGAATCAGTGGCTCCATTTTGAGAACAGACTGGCAAAATTGGAAAAGGATTTTGACAAACACCACAAAGTTATGAGCGTTCTGCAGGAGCAAGCGGCAAAAATCAAAGATAATTTTGTACCTGTTGCGCAACCGGTCAATCGTCATTTTAATCGTTCCGACGCTACGACGGTATCACGTGCGGGAAAAGGTCTCGCGTGTAATTTTTATGCTGAAAAAGTCCCCGAGGTCGACATACAAATGTTAGAGTTGTACAAGCAATTGGAGTTTGATAATCCAGACGGCGGAGTTTGGAAGCAAGGCTGGAACATTGTGTACGACGAAAAGCAATGGCATCCTAACAGAAAACTAAAAGTTTTCGTCGTGCCTCATTCGCACAACGATCCTGGATGGTTAAACACTTTTGAGAAATACTACATGTTCCAAACGAGGAGCATATTGAACAATATGGTGACTAAATTGAGCGAGGACAGAAGGCGCAAGTTCATCTGGGCGGAAATATCGTTCTTCAAACTTTGGTGGGACGATCAATCCAAAGAGATTAAGGACGAGGTGCGTCGTCTGATACACGATGGACAATTGGAGATTGTGTCGGGAGGATGGGTGATGCCGGATGAATCTGTATCTCACTGGATCGCTCAACTCACGCAATTGACCGAGGGTCATCAGTGGCTAAAATACAATCTGGATTACACGCCAACGTCAGGATGGGCCATCGATCCCTTTGGTCTTTCTCCCACTATGCCGTATCTCTTGAAGACGTCGGGCCTGGAGAACCTCTTGATACAGCGGGTTCATTATTCGGTGAAGAAGAAACTGGCCAAGGAGAAAAATCTCGAATTCCGTTGGAGGCAATTGTGGGACACGGACGGCTCGACGGAGTTCTTCACTCACGTCATGCCGTTTTACAGTTACGACGTTCCTCATACGTGCGGACCGGATCCGAAAGTGTGCTGCCAATTTGATTTTTACAGAATACAGAACTTCGGTCTCAGTTGCCCGTGGAAGATCCCGCCGAAAATCATAACTAGGGCGAATGTAGCGGAAAGAGCGTTGCTCCTGCTGGATCAGTATCGTAAGAAAGCGCAACTTTTCAAAACCGACGTGGTACTCGCGCCTTTAGGCGACGACTTCAGGTATACGCACCTCACCGAGTGGGAAGCTCAGTATGACAATTATCAAAAACTGTTCAACTACATGAACGAGAATCGGCATTTGAACGTCCAAATACAATTTGGAACGTTGAGCGATTACTTTGAGGCGGTCAGAGAGAAGCGCAATTTAAATGAATTTCCCACTTTGTCCGGCGATTTCCTTACGTATTCCGATAGAGATGATCATTATTGGAGCGGCTACTATACCTCTAGGTAAAGGATCGCTTTCGCGACGGCTGCACTTGAATAAATCTCTAGTCTAATATAACTTGTATAATTAAATCTGCATAGGCCTTTTCACAAAAGATTGGATCGCGTATTGTTGGGTACTTTGAGAGGGTCGGAAGCATTAGCCGCTATAGCTTGGGCCAGAGGCAACGATCAATTGGTAGAAGGTAGCCTCGCGTCCCGTTTAAGCAAAGCCAGAATGTGGCACTCGCTGTTTCAACATCACGATGGAGTTACCGGAACCGCCAGGGACAACGTTGTGATAGATTACGCCCAGAAGATGATAATGGCGTTGAATAACTCGGCTCATGTACTTCAACAATCTATAGCGCATTTATTAAGAACTCCTCAAGTATCGTCTATGGATGTGGAAGCTGTGTATTTTTCGTTGGATGAAACCAGGTTAGAAATAAAACCAGAACAATTCGCGAGTAATAATCGATAAGTTTGTCAATCGCACACATGCATTTATGTATATAAACGTTTAATGTTATGTATATTGATAATGTTATGGAAAATGTATTTAATCACACACATCCTTCTCGCGCGAAGGTCTCATCACACGAGTGTGGGCGAGAAGCACGTTCTTAACCTTGGAGACGACAAACCGTCGAGGAAGATTATCCTTTACAATCCCCTCCCAAGACAGAGAACAAAAGTGCAAACTTTGATTGTCTCGACGCCATTCGTCAGAGTTACAGATCGACGAGGACGGTCCGTCAAGTGTCAAGTGTCTCCCGTTTGGATTGGTCCAGCCGCATTGTCCGCGGCTAGATACGAACTATCATTTTTAGCAACTGTACCAGGATTTGGTATTACTACGTACATAGTTCACGCGCTGCACAAAGCATCGTATACAAAGTAAGTGTGCGACAATGATTATGTACTTAAAGAGAATTATTGATCTCCCGAAAAACTTGCCATATACCACACGGTAGCATAAAGCTTTTTCCAAACTGGCTTATGGTTAAATATATCTATCCGTTTGGGTCATCTCAGCAAATAATATTTCATATGTATAAAACTGAACACACGCTAAAGAATAAAAGAGAGATTGTACGCACATATTTTTTTCTTTTTCCAACAGGGAAGTGCATCTAGCTAATGTCACAATTTTCAACACTGACATAAGCATTCCGTCGATACCTGGTTTCAGTCACCTGACAATCTTGTCGCATACCCAGGAATTTTCAATTTCTCAACGGCCGGAATTGTCCGCCTCTTTCGGGAAATCCGGCTTGTTGAAAGCTTTGCGAATAGGCAATTCCATGTTTCCAGTGCATCTGGACTTTGTGAAATATGGCACTAGAGGTTCCGGGAAAGATAAAAGTGGTGCCTATTTGTTCCTGCCTGACAAGCCGGAACCAGACGTGGTGTTTATGGATGGCAGGGCGATCATTCATTTAGTAACCGGACCAATTTTATCGAGAGTATTCCTAGAATTGCCGCACGTGCGGCATACTTGTACGCTGTTCAATTCGCCTGGCAGCGATGGACTCGGATTGCACATATTCAACGAGGTTGACATAACAGAAACGCAAAACTACGAGCTTGCGATGCGTTTCAATACAGACATTGCGTCCGGCGACCAATTCTTTACAGATTTAAACGGGCTCAATGTAAGCACATTACGAATATAGCTAATTAAAAGTTATGTTTTGGAGTTTTACTTCTTGACAAGATTTGTCACTTTTTCTTCTTGAGATATATAATTGTGATATATATGTATATATATTTTTTTTATCTGATTAATTTTAGATAATCCGACGGCAAAGATTTCCCAAGCTTCCTACACAAGGGAATTATTATCCAATGGCAGCAAGTGCATATATAGAAGATAAAAGAGTTAGATTAACGATCGCTACGGCACAGCCATTGGGAGTAGCTTCTATGGCATCCGGTCAACTTGAGGTAAGTTGGTCGATTCTGTCTTGTCAGAGAATTGTATGTATCTTAACGTAAACGTGTAAAATGAAAAGGTAAG